GGGAATGGTTTAGATTCACAATTTTGTCCGCTGGACAATGTATTTTTAATTAATTTTTAATTTATTAGTAGTTGTTGATTTTCGAATGTTGTACATTGGATCCGACAGACGGCGCTACCATCGCAGTGTCAAATTTTAAATAATATTCGAATTAAAGACGCGTAGACAGGACAACGTCTGTCGGGTCCGCTAGTTATATATTAATGAATTCGCGAGTCGGTGTTGAAAGCAATAAATATGTAAATATAGATTATAAATAACACCAATTATATGAGAAAAAAACGTTTATTTATTCAACTGAGCTGTTAAATATTAAAAAATATTTGTTATTTTTCTAACAAAAATAATTCTCTATTATCATTAATGTTTTATTATTTAATTATTTCCTAATAATTTATATCTATATGTATAATAAAATTGGATTTTTTTCTGTATGTAATGTTCATATATATCATATTTCATACATATGAAATAAATATGACTTTAATTTACAATAGAAATGAAATTAATATAAAAAAAAATCGACATAATTTTTTAAATATCTTCTAAAAAAATTACATACGAAAAAAAAATTCAAAAAAATTTAATATGATAAATTAAACACAACAAAAATCCATTACAAGAATACATACATATAAATAAATAATATCTTTTTTTATAAATCCGTAAAAAAAAAATGTAAAATATTTAAAATTGGATATTCCGTAAATGGTAGCAACCCTAAAAGTACAACGACAGAGTCTGACCATTATTGACACAATAAATTCTAACGCTCGCATTTTTAAACCTGCCTCACGCACACATGCATACACACTAACACACGCATATGTTAAGTATGTGTCACCGGTAAACCGAGAAATTAGTCAGTCTAGAATCTGACTAAACATTTGATAAATGGAAAAAATGTTAACGAATCATAAACAAAAGTAATTTCCAATTATATTTAACTTTTACTTAAACTATAATAAAATAACTTATACAATCAATTCCATAATTTGACGAGTTAACTTCATCGTATTTGGATTGCGAATCACATTTTATAACGTCTAGTTATTTTACAAAGTGTCGTATTTCACAATCGATAGGTGACATACAGGTATGTAGGATGCATTTGTACAGCATCCGCATGTTGGCCGGATTCTCGAGTGCCGGCGAAGTCGGCCGCTCTTTACGATTGCAATTAAAAAAACAACATATCGGATACAAGATCAGCTGTACGTTAGTTATTACCTTTAGGAAATGTTTAGTGAGCAAGTTTACTTAAAGATAAATAAGTTAATACTTTTTACTAAGTTAAGACTGACTGATAAAATAGTATTCGCGACTATGTACAGTCGGTGAATCTGGCGGTGGTCTACCTTAAAGCTACAGGTATTTGAATGTCTCGCATGGAGCCATCACTGACCGATACAGCTTTTAAATATGTTTTTAAGAAATATGGTCGGTCAGTGTATTCGGTTCATTACTTTTTTTTAATTATTACATCGTTTACGTAACTCATCGTTACCAAATTTGTTGTTGCTATTTATCTTGATGCGAGAAAGAAGGCAATTTTTCCGTAAGTGGAACACTGCGGATTTCCTCGACTGTACTTATGTGGGTTTGTATATATGTACATTCCATTGTGACGGCCTAGAGCCTAAACTAGTGAACTAAATTTGACGAGTGAGGTATCATTCGATTAGTCTTCTTCCTCTGAGTGTCACACAGTCGGGTTTATTGAGTTTTTCTTGCTAACCCTTTCAGCCGTTTAAGTTTCCTGGAACATAACTTGAGGTCCTAATTATTGGGAACTTCATTTAATAACATCAAGAATCTTATATCGCAAGATTTACTTAGTAATGCGATTTTTTTTACATTCATTCGACACAATGTTAAACTGTTATAACTCTAAAGTATCTTAAGTATTGCTTTTTATTAAAATAAGATGATTACGTTTTAATTCTCACATTGTGCTTCCTTATATTATTTTAATTATCATCAACTACAAAAGGCTTTTAAACTGAATTCATATTTAAGTTTTTAGAGATCGGTAAAAACAAAAGAAAAAAAACACGATTTTGAGCCTATAAAATATTTTTAATTACGATAAATAAGTTTATTATTATTAAAAACTTATTTAAAGTAATCATATTTTCATATTTCATAAAATATAATTTAACTTAACTTTATTTTACAATTTTCATGTAAACTTATATAAAAACGGCTAAACCCTCATGTATATTCGTGCGGTGGCAGCACCGACTAAATTCGAGCTCATCGGGGGCCCTTCATCAGGATGAGTGGTACTGGTATTATTTAGCGGACGCGGCCCGTCGCTCATTGATATTTAAATTTTCATGTAATTAAAACATTTTTATTATTAAAATAAATAAAGTACGCGTCCATTGTCCCGCAATGAACCGCACACAGATTAAATTTGCTTTGCCTTTCAATGTTAATAAAATAAAAATAAAAAGAATTCCTCCACCGTACGTTGTACGGAATCCGTTTTAAATATTAATGATCGTGCTTGTTTTGTTTTTGGGTTTATAATAGCATTGAAACAATAGCCATGCTCGAGTTATTTTTAAAAGCAAATCCTATTTACAAGTTGTAAGTTAATGTGTTTAATATAACAGTTTGTATATTTAATGTACTTAAAAGATTATATCTTTACTAGCGGACCCGACAGACGTTGTTCTGTCTACACGTCTTTAATTTGAAAATTCGAATATTATTTAAAACTTGACACTGCGATGGTAGCGCCGTCTATCGGATCCAATGTAAAACATTCCAAAATCAACAACTACTAATAAATTAAAAATTAATTAAAAAAACATTGTCCAACGGACAAAATTGTGAATCTAAACCATTCCCAGATCCCCTTGAACACACACAAAAAATTTCATCAAAATTGGTCCAGTCGTTTGAGAGAAGTTCAGTGACATACACACACACAGAAGAATTATATATATAAAGATATATCTGTTTAACTTACTAATATAAATGCGAATGTTTAGATGTTTGTTATGTTAGAAAGAAAATAGGAAAACATAGCAGTGTATTGACCCAACTACCTTACTAAAATGTCGACGTTTATGTCCCCTCACTAAGCATTCCGACATTGGACTTTGTAATGAAAGCACGTCAGTGGCTTCACTAAGTATCTCCAGAACAGCTGAACGGGTCTTGATAAATTTTGGTATAGATATAGAACATAGTCTGGTAGAACATATAGGCAAATTAAGTTTTTTTAATTCCATGCGGACGAAGTCGCTGGCGACCGCTAAATGAAGTTAAAAAAGTTTTTTTAATTTAAAAAAAAAAAGTTTTTGTGTTTTTCTCTCAAAGTTCACTACGCATTCTGAAATCATCATCAGCTCACTATACGTCCCCACTTAGGGGCACGGAGCTCACCCTAAGATAGTGACTAGGTCATAGTCAACACTGGTCCAGTGCGGGTTGACATCACACATATCTTTGAATTTCTTCACAGAATGCAGCACGATGTTTCCATTACCATAATTCTGGAGATCTTATCTTACTAATATTATAAATGCGAATAGATATCTCCACAACCGCTGCATGGATCTCGGTGAAATTTGGCATACGTGTAGAACATAGTCTGGAAGAACACATACGCTACTAATTAAGTTTATACGCGAACGAAATCGCGTACAATAACTAGTAATAAACCGACTTATTGTTAACCAAAACGAAACTACAAAACGATTGAAGTCATTTGGGAATCTTAATTACTGTTGTTTTGTTTATAATTATACTATGTCATATTGTATTAAGCTACAAGGTAGAAAAGGACGGAATATGAGACGGATAGATAGAGCTTTGATCCTGCACTTGGGCGGAGCTTACAGTGACACGCCCATTCAACTTATCGATTTTGCCACATCGGATAATTTATTCATAATTCCTTTGTTATACGATTTTATGTTTCTCTTAATTTGAAGAATTACCTATTTTTATGCCTTTCAATTTGCTAAAACTCCCTTGAGGTTTTTGGGGGTTTCTTTTTTTATCGTTTTTTTTTGTTTGTTTTTTCGACATGATATATTTTAAGCTATAGGTTACTTTATAAACTAAATATGTCTATCAATCTCTGTAGTACTATGTTTATTAACAATATAACATCTTTATATAACAGTGGTAGAGCCCGCTTTAACATCTTCGCACGAATTGGCCCGGCTCGCCCGGTGAAATACCATGACCACACTGAAGATACGCGTCAAGTGGAAGCAATTCCAAGTACAGTTTGATGAGTGTGCGTCCCGGAGGCCTGATTTAGTCCTCTTTCTTGTGAGGAAGGGTTGGGAAGTGGAAGTGGACTTTCCGGATGAGAGGATGCATGGAAAGAGAAAATATTTTCTTTCTGTGCATCCTCTCCTCCGTCGATTTAAGGTAGGCAACGCATATGCAATTACGTATGTCTATGGGCAACGGTCGCTTCGCTATTTCAGCGATTTCAGGTGACCGCTTGCTCGTTTGCCACCTTATGATATAAAAAAAATATATAGGTTTAAATTGCAAAATAATAGTAAACATAGTCATATTATAATTTGACTAGTAACTTTAAATTAATCATAAAACATACTATAAGGAACAGAAACCGTTGTTTTTATATGCAAACATCTAGTCCTAGAACACAAAGACGACAAACATTGATTTTTTTATTACTATCAACCGCAACATCGTTCGCGATGAATTAAAAAAAAACTTAATAAGTAGTCTTATATGTTCTTCCAGACTATGTTCTACATTTATGACAAATTTCAGCGAGATCCATACAGCCGTTCTGGAGATATACCTTCAAACAAACATCTAAACTTTCGCATTTATAATATTAGTAAGAAGTAAGATAATCTTGTCTTTAAAGTAAAGAAAAATATAATAACAAGGAAAAATAATCACTTTATAATAACTTTAAAGATTCGTCTTACGAATTGTCGATACTAGATTCAACTAATCTTTAAAAACTCTAATAATATTTCTGTTGTCCTCAGAGAAACTCCGTCTCTCTCTATGCGTGGGTTGCGGCGGTCAGATTCACGACCAGTACATCTTACGCGTGGCTCCAGACCTGGAGTGGCACGCAGCCTGCCTCAAGTGCCAGGAATGCAGGCAGTTCCTTGACGAATCTTGCACCTGCTTCGTCAGAGATGGAAAGACTTACTGCAAGCGAGATTATACAAGGTAAGTCCTTTGTAAGTAAGATAATCTTAAGAAGTTAGTTAGTAACTAACTGTCGCCTGTAAGTCCGTTTGCGTGGTAATAAAAAACTTAATTAGTAGCCTATGTGCTCTTCCAGACTATGTTCTACATCTGTATTAAATTTCATCAAGATCCGTTGAGCCGTTCGGGAGATACCTTCAAACAAATATCCGTCCATCCATCAAAACAGTCGCATTTATAGTAATTCTTGCTGTCGCCTGCGACTCCGTTAGCGCGGTATTAAAAAACTTAATTAGTAGCCTATATGCTCTTCCAGACTATGTTCTACATGTATGCCAAATTTTATTAAGATACATTCAGCCGTTCTGGAGATACCTTCAAACAAACATCACATTTATAATATTAGCAAGATAACTAAACGTACATTTTACATATTTATTTCTCTTGAAATTACAACATAAAGCGTATGGCAACATTCAAATTACTTGATATTATAAATTCCACGAAACTAGATCAAGTTTTATAAATAAACTTTAATTAAAGCAATTCAAACAAATTAAATTCAATATGGCAAACATGGAACGTCCAAGCGTACACGCTCCGAACTGTCAAACTGCCCGTACCATACAACTTACGAATAGTTAATTATAATTCCATTAACACGGCACTGTTTAACTGCATTAAACACTATTTATAACGGAACGTCACTCATTTTTAACACGGCGCCACTTTTTCATAACAACACCAAAGATGAATTCACTAAAATAACTCGCATATGTTTACCATTTCACCCTTCCATCTCGATGCTAAAATATAGAATTACCATTGACAAACAAAACTGTAATTCGACAAACATTTTCGCATAAACTCAATCCTTATGTTATAGACAATAAAATCTATAATCCTTCAGCTACTATTTTAGCATTGGTAAATATAATTTTGCCGCCGTATACAGTGATGCGCAGAGAAAACAAACTGAGTTTGACTGAGCATTATGTATTTGGGCGCCAAAACAAACGTCAGTTTGACAGCGCGGCGGGCGGCGGGAATCTGATATGTCTATGGTATATTTGTCCTCGTTTACACCGGCCCGGATAAGCGGGTTTTCAATTACACTTTTTTTTTTTAACTTAAACTAATGTGTAAATAAATAAAAGTGTACTTTACTTTAAATCTCCGTTTTACAGAACAATTTAACATCTAAGATTTTATTTCAATATAAAACTTTTTAGGTTATATTGCTTTCTTTTATTTTAAAAAGTAAATATAACTGTCAACTTCTAAATCTTTATAATATTTTAAGGTTAGATTCTTTTAGTTTAAAAGGAAATTGGTTAATGTAACGGAACGGCTGCATCGCTGATATTTAGCACAAATATAGAACATTGTTTAGGAACACATAGCCTACTAATTATGTTTTTAATTCCTCGCGTACGTAGCTTACGACATCTAGTTAAAAATATGCTAAACAAAACTTTCTAAACACGATAAAAAGCCCGTTACGAAAACAATCAATCGCTTTTGCTTTTAAACTCTATTATAACGGAAATTAAACATTTTAATATGGAAGTATTAACATCCTGCGGACGTACTGACATACGAACTCATCAATAGAAGGAAATCGATGAAATAGTAATACTAACAATAATTAATATAATTTATACTTTACTAGTAGATTTTGTACCATCTCAAAGGCCGGCAACGCATCTGCGGTTCCTCTGGTATTGGTCCATGGGCGTCGTTGAACACCTCGGTGTTCCCGCTGCTCGTTTGCCCCCTTCTCTTATAATAAAAAAAGGCAGACCGGCTTGACAGATAGACGGACGGACAGCAAAGTGATCCTATAAGGGTTCCGTTTATGAGGTACGGAACCCTAATAATTTATATTTGACAATCATTTTTTGTTGAATTTTAATCTTAAATATATAATATGTAGATATATCAATGGAATTTTTACAAAAAAAAGTTGTTTTTTGTCTTGAAAATTTTAAAAATATAAATGCGAATGTTTGGATGTTTATTACAAGATATCTTAAGAACGGCTGTATGAACCTCGCTGATATTTGTTATAGATGTAGAACATAGTCTGGAAGAATACATAAGCTATTAATTGAGTTTCTTTTTAATTCAAAACAGTACTAAATATAATCTGAATAAAATGCACAGTTTGTAAAAGGTTAAGCTTTTAACTTAACCCTTTCGCAGCTGAGACAGGACGGAAACTGTTGTTTGTGCGTCGGATCCAGTTACCGACGTAAACAGCGGATATATAGAAATATTATACACGTTCCTATTTTCACTAAATTTACAATAACATATGTTTATAGATGACGATTCGAATTTGGAAATTTTTAAAAGATAACCTCAAAATTTTTAATGAAAAATTTTATTTCACATAATTATTACTAACTAGCTGTCACTCTTAACTGCCTCTGCGTGGAATTAGAAAAAAAAACTTTATTAGTCTCTGTGTTCTGCCAGACTATGTTATATATGTATGCCAAATTTTATCAAAATCTTTTCAGCCGTTCCAAAGATATCTTCTAAAAAACATCCATCCATCTAAACATTCGCATTTATAATATAAATAAGATAATTACGATAGAAGAGTATAATTATAAAAAATGTATGAAAAACAAAAGAAATTGAACAATGTCAGGATTTGGTCATTCGCGTAATGTTACCTTTCTAAACAAATATGATATTATTATGTACATTTTCATATTATACCCCTTACATATGGACTGGCTTAAGGCGTAGTATTTTGTGCCTTTTTGATTTTCGCCATTTTGGCGCTGTATTGGTTTATAACGGTGGTCTTGATTAGAACTAATAATATAGATAGAATTAACTATCACGTAACATCAACAAATGCGTATATCCTATCCATATATAAATCGGTCATCTATAAACAGATGTATACTGCATCTGTCTGTATGTTTAACATTTAAACATTGCAGTAAGAGGAGACGAGGAGCGGTGTTCGGTTTCGCTAATTGAGGGGTCGCCGGGAGCAAATCTCTCCCTAACTTAAAGCTACGCCTAACTTATATTTTATGTACTGAGTGTTGGTTCCTGAGACCATATCTTACTAATATTATAAATGCGAATGTTTAGATGGATGGATGTTTGTTTAAAGTTATCTCCAGAACGACTGCATCTCGATGAAATATGGCATACATATAGAACATAGTCTGGAAGAACACATAGGCTACTAATTATGTTCTTTTAATTCCTGCGCGAACGGAGTCGCGGGCGATAGCTAGTCTATAAAACATAGCGTCATTCCTAACATTCATCTTTGATAAAACAGAGTTAACAATATGTTTTAAAATAGGATATTGGTCTGAGATCCACGGTCAAAGAATCGCAAAATAAACCCAGTATTTTCAACATAAAATTATCGATGAAAATATTCCATTCTACGCGGTCTCCCTACTGACCATTCCTGTCACTTCTTGTGTGGCCAATGTTTGTGCAGCTGACAACTGACAGGCCCGACTGCAGTCAAAACGAAACGTCGCGAAATGTTAGGATGTTCCATCATAGTAAACAAATATAGGGCCAATGTATAATCTTTATAAACTTTGTGGCATAGAGTTATACCTATAGACAGATCATTCCGAGCACAAAAATGAGAAACTCCAGAGGCTTATTGTGGTAAATTACCCCAGTTATTTAAATTATACTATATACTTAAAAACTGAATAGAATGCGACCTCTTTTCTAATGTTTATATTTTATTTCATAGGTCATAGTAGTAGTAAAATAATTAGTAGTGACATTTTTTTAAATATTTCCCCGAATTTGGGAATGTTTTCATTATACTGGTAACATTACGTCACTTATCTGTCACCTAACTTTTTCGTATTCTAAAAGGCAAAGGTCTTAGTGGCCATTATGCCACCTCTTTGACAGAATGCAAACTACAAAACCAAAGAGATCGAATATACAATTATTTTATGAACAAATGTAAATAAATATATCCGACTGATATATTATATAATAATAATAAATATCTAAGTGCAATATTTAACATAGATTTTACATAAAACATAGGGAAAGGGAAAAGCATTGAAAAGCGAGCAAAACCCTAAGTACATTTTGAAACAACCCCCGGGGAGGTTGTTGACCGGCACTTTACGGGATGAAAGCCTTCCCCAACCCCCAGCCCCCAGCCCCCGGCCAATACCGCTAAAAGCATCGCCTATACAAGCTACGAGGGGTGTGTATACCTCAAAACATACGGGGAAATATTTTTCAAGTGAAAATTATTTAGGTATTTTTTCATACCATGAATACCTTCATAAAGTACTAATACTTTTTAAAATATAAATGAACCTTTTTTGGTATATTTAAATGGATGTTTTTGTTAACATTTTCTAGGATTTTTTAAAATTTTTAATATGAATAAAAATATTTCGATGATCATATGTATATATATGTATGTTATTTAAAGTTATTCAAACTCACGTAGTTTTCAGTTAATACTGAATAATTTTAGTAATAATAGGAAAAGATGGCTTCATCATCATCATCATCAGCTATACGTCCCCACCGAGGGGCTCGGAGCCTACCTTAAGTTAAGATGGCTTACAGCTTTTAAATTTTTCTGAATATTTTTTTCAAAGTGGATTAATCTTTTCAGATTATTTGGTACAAAATGTGATAAATGCGGAGCATCCTTCAGCAAGAATGACTTCGTAATGAGAGCTAAAACGAAAATATACCACATCGATTGTTTCCGATGCTGCGCTTGCGCACGACAACTAATACCAGGTGCGTACCAGGTTTATTATACCGTATTGTTTTTCGTACACAAATTCAACATAATAATTTCTACACATCCAGAGGCACAGACCTAGACATAATATAAAATTAAGTGTTTATAGTGGTTATTTTTTTTCTTTAACTCTACTACTCTACTAAGTTAGGGATAACTAGGCCATGCTCAACACTGACCCAGTGAGGGTTGACTTCACACATATCTTTAAATTTCTTCTCAGATAAATGTACATATGTATATCGGAAATCGAAAAACACATTGGTACATCGCTTCGAACCCAGGATCTACAGATTACTAGTCAAGTGCTTTAACTCCAGAGTCACCAACGCTCTTTTGTTTGTTTTCAATCAAATCTTGCTAGTTCCTCTGATAAAACAGTCTTTAGTACTTGTAGGCTTTAGTAAATATTAAAGATTAAATGAAACGAAATTGATGGCCACAAGTAACCATTGCGATCTTTGGGGGAAGCCTGTGCCCAGCAGTTGGCGTCACATGGCTGAAGAGAGAGTGACAAGAGAGAGTGACAAGAGAGAGAGCCAATTGTTAACACACGCAACAGACATAATAAGAAATTTTAAAAACACACAGACACATTAGTTGATGTAAACATATATTTTTATTGCAGGAGATGAATTCGCGTTGCGAGAAGGTGGTGCGTTATACTGCAGGGAAGACCACGATGTGTTAGAAAAGGTTTTTTTTTATTTTTTTTTTACGTGTGTGTTTAAAAATATTCATTTTCACAATACAGAAATTTATATACTGTTAACCAATGTTCCTTGGACGAGTGTTTTGGCATTCGTTAATATGTTTGTTGAGAAAATTGATTTTTTTAAAATCTTTGGCGAACATTGTTGATTGTACTTATTATTCCAATAGATTTTTGAGGAGATAAGTTACCACCAGTTAATTTGAGCGAAGTAACTTAAGATGAATTTTAACTTAATTCCTATCAGACACTATCAAAGCGTGTTGTGTTTCCAATTTTTAGAATAATTATGTATCATCATCAGCTCACTGTACATCCCCTTTAAGGAGGAGCCTACCCAAAGTTGGAGGTGATTAGGGCGTAGTTAAACACGCTGGCACAATAAATTATGTATACTTATATATATAATTAAAGTTTCTGTACATTTGTAGAGTGCAAACACAAGTAGCAGCAGTGGCGCCAACGCGGAGAGTAACAACAACACCACGCTAAGCAACAATAATTCACATCACCCGCACGAGCTTGGCTCCATGTCTGGTCAGTACTAGTAGTTTTAGACATTATTAGTTTTAACAGTGGTAGAGCCCGCTTTAACTGTTCGCACGAATTGTCCCGGCTAGCCCGGTGAAATACCACGACCACACAGAAGACAGGCGTGAAGTGGAAGCAATTCCGCGTACAGTCTGATGAGTGTGCGTCCCGGAGGCCTAATTTAGTCCTCTTTCCCTTCCCACCCTTTTTCTTATAAGGAAAGGATGGGAAGTGGAAATTGACTTTCCGGATGAGGGGATGCATGGAAATGTTTTCTTTCTGTGCATCCTCTCCTCCTTCGATTAAAGGTAGGCAACGCATAAGCAATTGCGTATGCCTATGGGCAACGGTCACTTCGCTATTTCAGCGATTTCAGATGACTCGTTTGCCACCTTATGATATAAAAATAAAAAAATAGAATGCTTTGGCGCGAATGTCGCGTTTTCATTACAAAGTGAAGTGTCAGAATGATTAGTGAGGGGACATAAACGTCGACATTTTAGTAAGGCTAGTGTTGGGATACACCGGAACTGTGTCGGATTTTCTTCCTAATCGTAAATATTTAACAAAGTACAAAAACAGTGATTCTTAATAGTCTAGGTAAACTCATGAGGTCTATAAAAGATGTGACTGGTTTACTGGAGAGAAATAGGTTCACAATATCAAGAAGAAATGTAACAGCAGGTTACTTAATCCATTAAAATTTAAAAATAGTCTGATAATGGATTTCTGCTATGAAAATACTTGTTATAGGTTTTTGTAGCTTACCAAGATCTTATTTATCACTCAAATTACGCGGCAATTGATGCGAACATTTGTGTATTTCCAATTTTATTATTGTATTTTGTTGTCATTAAGTTTTAATCCTTGAAATACTGCAATAAGACTATCTGTTTGGAACCTGTCATTGAGTTCCATCTTCACGAGTCACAGAGCGTTTTTTCATCGTTACCATCTTGATGACTGTCATTCCACAACGACGAGGTTTTCACGTTACTTTGTACCTCGCACAGTCCGCGTTGTGGAATACTCTGTCTTCAGTGGTATTTCCAAATAGTTACGACTTAGGGATTTTCAAGAAAAGAGTGTTCACCTCTCTTAAATCAACGCATCTGTGGTTCCTCTTGCTTTGCATCTATGGGCGTCGCATCAAATAATTTTATACGATCTGTCGCTCGTTTGCCCCCTTCTATAAAAAAAATCACCACGGCATATACCTTTTTTATATTAAAAAGTTAGTAAAGTGTTTGCTTGGTTCTACGAATCTCATCGTCTCGTGGAAATATATCATTATATCCAAAAAAACTATGAATATGTTATCATGTTACATACATAATTAGTGTTACTATCTTATCGAAGTCAAACTTCAAGTGTTTGTACACATCGGTTCCCAATTTAACACTGATTGTAGGTATACCCAACCAAATACAGTTAGATGTCTAAAAAGTTTCTATTTATTCTCTTAAAATGATATAAAAACTTTTTGCTCAAAATGGACAGTACGAAAAAGAGTCTTAGACTCATCGTACACAGACCTACGTAAATAATCGAAACTCGACGACTTACGCAATATAGAGGTTCAAACATGCCCACGATGGCGATTTTTTTATCTGTCATAACCGAAGACTGCACGAATTGTTCCGGCTCGCCCGGCGAAATACCACGACCACACAGAAGACAGGCGTGAAGTGGAAGCAATTCCGCGTTTCGTCTGATGAGTGTGCGTACCGGAGGCCTAATTTAGTCCTCTTTCCCTTCCCACCCTTTTACTTATAAGGAAAGGATGGGAAGTGGAACTGGTTTTTCCGAAAGAGAAATGGAATGGAAATGGAAAAATATTTTCTTTCGTAGGTAACGTATATAATATAATTGCGTATGTCTATGGGCAACGGTCACTTCGCTATTTCAGCGATTTCAGGTGACCGCTCGATCGTTTGCCACCTTTTGATATAAAAAAAATTACTTATACTTTAAGATATATTTTAGACTTAATTAGATTATATTTATAGATGTAGATAGAATATATTATATTTAAAGATATTGAATTATAGAAAATTTATTGCTATCGCCTTAAGTTGATACAATAATCAAAATTAAATCAGTGCGTTAGAACTATATAACTTGCGTCGCTCACCGTACGTTATCTATGGGCCTTTGAAATATGCCGACAAAGGGTACGCCGCTTTAAATTGGCCGCGAAAACTCAAGTGGACGGTCGTTTTTTATCTAATTAATCTCATTGATGGTGATGAAAAAAAAATATAATGTAATGACCTGACACTATGATAAAATGTTACCTATGAATAGAAATCTAAGGGTCTTTTGACTCCCTTTTTTAATTAGTGTTAAATTCATTATACTTTGTTTCGATTGAAAGCGTTAATTAAGTAAACAATTTACATTAAGGCAGTCAAAACTCTTGATTACTTAACCTATTAATATATTAGAGCATAGAGTAAATATTTATATTCGTTAGTTTAATGTCCTTGAACTTGAAGAAAGTCGCAATAAAATTATAAAAAAATAGTTTTTCTATGTTTCCACTTATCTGTCAAATCTAAAATGTTGACAATACAAATCGATAGAACAATTAAAATAAGATTGTCTGTGATACAAGATAAAGACTTTTTTATTAGTCATTTTTATTACTTATCTTAATAATTCATAAAAAGATAATTAAAAGTAAAGAACAAGGGTAAAACTACATATATCTTATAATAGAAATAAAATTGTTATTCGCCTAAATAACAAAAAATATTTTTAAACTTAGTCGCACTTCTAGAATTCATTTTTTTTATTAATAAAGCGGAGAAAACTAGATGTTTAGAAGAAGAAAAATAGGAAATGCCATATAAAATAAAGGAGAAAAAAATTGTAAAAGAATGAGAACTTACGATCGATTTCAATAATCCAAATATTGGTTTAGACCGTAAAAATTAATTTAATGTTTATGGTTGCTAATTTAATATGAAACAAATTTCACGACTGATTTTTAATTTTCGAATTCTTTTTATTCATTAAATTACTGACAGTTACGAATGTTGCCAGTGTCCGCCATTACAAAATTAACAAAAGGGTTGCCATAAGCCAACGTCCGAAGATTAACAAAGGTGTGAAGTGTGGATCAATGGTATTATGCGCGGGCCCTTGATCCCTAATCATCCACTGACCCTTCTGTTAGGGTCAGTCAGAGTCTATTATAAACAGCTTTGATTAAATATACAAAGAAATTATTACACTTTAATAAATGAAATTGAAATTAGGTAATATTTAGGAGAATAATACGAAGTTCTTGTTACGTCAAATTGCAGATGCGTTGCCTACCTTTAATTGACGGGAGAAGGGACGCACAGAAAGATAATATTTTCCTTTCTTATGCGTCCCTTCCTCCAACAATTCGTAAATCTTCTTACTGTACTTAGCTTCAGATGTTTGACTGTAATTAACTATGTTTTTTTAGACTCCGGCAGCGAGTCAGGCTCGCACAAGAGCGGACGCGCCCGCACCTCAAACGCGGCCGACGGAAAGCCCACCAGAGTCCGGACTGTACTAAATGAAAAGCAGTTGCATACGCTCAGGTAAGTACGGCATAGCTGGCAACACGTGATATTTATTTTTAAACATTATACGGTTTTTTCCAGTACAAAAAAAAGTTAAATGGAATCGTTTAATAAAACCTCACCAAACGCAATACGCTTTTATCATCATAGCAAAACATTATAAGCGTGTTAATAAACATATGTTTATCAGGACATGCTACGCTGCTAATCCACGACCAGACGCGCTGATGAAGGAGCAGCTGGTCGAGATGACGGGCCTCAGCCCGCGCGTCATTAGGGTCTGGTTCCAAAACAAACGCTGCAAGGATAAGAAGAAAACGTTGCAGCTTAAAATGCAAATGCAACAGGAGAAGGTGGTAATTTATCCTTTGGTATATCTTTTTTTAATTATCAACAAACACACAAACCAGAGTAGGTTGATGAACCATTTTGAAATTGGTAGGTTAGAATGGATTAGAATTTAGAACGCTTTGTAACGGTTATGTTGTCTATGCATGTCAGTGTTGCCAAGTTAATTGATAAAAGATAACCTAATTAATATTTATGGATTTTATTTGTTAGGCATTTTACCGAATACGACATTTAATAATTTGCTTTGCAACTTTAAATTACAGTAGATTAATATAATAATTTAATTGCTACAGCCATACTGCGCTACACAGGATGTTTTGAAATAACTCGTTATACGAGTGTACTAGTTTCCTTGACCTAAAACATGTTGATTTAACAAATCTTATATCCAAAGTTGTTTATATACACGTGTTAAAATACGTCTTTATCTGTATATTTTTGAATATATGACCTTTTTGTGCATCAAATTTAAACAATTGTTGTGTTCCGAACAGGAAGGCCGTAGGTTGGGATACATGTCACTGGGAGTACCATTAGTGGCAGGCTCGCCGGTGCGCCACGAGGCGGGCCCGTTGCCGCTCGAAGTGACCGCCTACCAGCCGCCCTGGAAGGCGCTTTCTGACTTCGCGCTGCACGCCGACCTGGACCGCGCGCCGCACCACAGTGCCGCCTTCCAACATCTCGTCAGTCAGGTAACTAATGTACATGCTGGTAAAGCCGGAAGCAGCAACTGTTAGATCGACAGGACCTCATAAAATACGACAGTACAAAACCCATTGGAGTCCTTGACTTAAATTATCCATTGCTTGAGTTAGATGTGAATAGTAGTATCAAAAAGGGATAGAATTTTTTTGGATAGTGTTACCACATGAAATCATAATTAGTCTAAGCTTATGGTGAGTGACGAAAATTGTGGATAAAGAGAGAACCATAGACATATTAGTTTAGTGGGAATTAATTTGACATTCCTTCTTTTTTCCAGATGCATGGCTACGATGTACCGTCGCTGCCTCCCCCTCGCCCTCAGGGAGGAGAGGATAACTACGTAACGTACCTGGAGAGCGACGACAGTCTCCCACCCTCGCCCTAGTGCCGTCTTACATAATCACCTCCATACGAGAGGGACGGATGATGATTCCGAACGAAAGCGCAACGAACTGTCAATGTCAAGTTGTAATATAGCGCGAAATACCAACATAAAAACACTGAGTGATGTGATCATAATAAACTTAATTTCTCAAATGTTGGCTCCAATTTTAAATCACATTTTGGGTTCTAAAATAAAAAAGGAAATAATGTAAAGATTATGTTTTTAAAATGGTCAGTGTTTTGTTTATATTTGTGTTGATTCAAGTTGGAACATTCATATAGAGAGGCGGTGGGATAGTGCAAACAAAATAGAATTAAGAATCATCTTGCCAAGTTTGTATGGGTAAGAGTTTACGACAATGTCGGCAATTATAGATAACATATTGACCTATATTCCCGACATCCTCTTGTCATTAATATTTTTATTGTTGCAAAATGTACACATATAATATTTTAAAAGTTTTATTTACTTTATTGAATTCGACTGAAACGATAGATGTTAAATTCACTAAAAGAAATAAAACTTTTTAATCCATTGTTGAATTTGTAAATTGCACAAATTGTTAATAAGGACGCGACTTTTAACAATTTATTAGCTATTTTTTAAACTTATATAAAAACGGCTAAACAATCACGTATATTCGTCCGGTGGCGGCAGCGACTAGTATCGAGCCCATCGCGGGCCCTTCATCGACGCGTCCATTCGCGAAATAATACCAGTACCACTCATCCTGATGAAGGGCCCCCGATGGGCTGGAAATTAGTCGGTGCCGCCACCGGACGTATATACGTGATTGTTTAGCCGTTTTTATATCAGTTTATTATAATCTCTCACGAAAATTTGAATAATTTAATAGCTATTTTTTGTGATGTTTACCATTAGTTGTATGTAATTAATTTGTTTTATCCTTTAATAATCACTAAGATCTGGTTTTCTATGTACATTTCTTGTAAATAATATTGTATAAATTTTATAAATATATAAGAGTTTAAAATTATGTAGGCTTAATTATAAATATAATTACAATTTTAATTAGTAAATTATGTGCATTATGTAACAAGCAGCCAGTCATTTTTATTAAGTGTATTATTTGTATTGTTTCAATTATATTAATTTAATTTTTAATATCGAATTATTTTTAGCTACCCAAAAGGCTTTCAGCACAATCTTGTATCTTGTAAAAAAAAATTGCTATTTTACACGAATAGAAGCTGATAAGAATATAATAAAGTCTACGACTAAAGTTGCGAAATTAAAAAAAAGAAAAAGAGTGTGCTTTTTAACACTACATATTATTTTTTTCACATAATTTGTGTCTTATTACATTTAAACACATAACATCATGTCTCTACGTGACCTTTTTATCTATATTTTTTGTTAAAAATGGGTGTCGTGTTATATTTCATAGTAACCAGATGTCTAATTTATTTGGTAGCTAAATCTATACACTATATTTAGATTGTGAGCATTATATTAATAAAAAATTGAGTACTTAAAACCTTTTTTATTTCAACCTTCTTTCTAATTCTTCATATCACATTGAATCAGCCAAAAGCAATAACATTACTGGCCAATGATATTTTTAGAACATTTAATTTTTTTAATTTAAAAAAGCAAACAACTTTTAACTCGACGGCTGTATCGATTTATCATTGAAAAGTATTTTTATTTCTTGAAGATTATTTTTTTTATCTCATTATTTGACTGCAACTGATATCCCTTCGATAGCTCAGTTGGTAGAGCGGTGGACTGTAGCTGTAACAAAAATTGATATCCATAGGTCGCTGGTTCAAATCCGGCTCGAAGGAAGATTTTTTGTTTATTATTTCTTGGAAAATATTCTAAAATCTTCTGGCTCGTATTGATAATTACTATAGAACTAATTACAAGTTTGGAATTGTAGGTTCTTAATAAACTAAAAATGTGTTCAATAAAAAGGCAATTTTATATTCGTTTAAAACTTTACAAATTCGTTAGTACCGAAGAGTATAGTGAAAACATTAAGTACTTTTTGGACCAAAGAGTATAGAAATTAGTCGTGTTCTACTCTAGTCACATTTTGTTGCACTCGAAAGAAATCATTTGATGGATGTATCAGGTAAATCAGAAATTGTTCCATCAAGTGCAACTGCAAACTTAAGTTTAAACATTTTTTTCAATGTATGTATACATTTTTAATTCTATAATATTTTTTTATTATAAGGGTAAACATTTTGTAGTTGGTAACACTCGATATGTTTATATTTAAACGTCAGTCTCAGCTGTTATTTCATGATGATGTCAATCTGACATTTTTACATACGACTAAAGTTTCAATTTTCAGTTTTTCTGTAATTTTTTTTACCGATTTCTTATCATTTTTCTAGTTATTATCCAATTGATAAAGCGATTAGTCTTATTCTAAGTTATTTATACCTTTTGAAGTGATTTCGCTTCCATACTATCTATAAATATAAAATGTAAACTACAGTAAGAATGTAAATAAAGTTTCCGAAGATAACGTAATCTATCAATAAGTGCAAAACACGGTTACTAATAACGAATAATTGGCAAACAATACGCCGGTAGAAAAGAATTATTAGTCTTTTCTTTTTGTAAATTGTTATTTCCTTTATTTCGTGTGATTTTCGACTCACTTAACCATTTTATTACTAGATGCTGGATGTGAGATTCTATTTTCTTTTATAAGACAATAATTGTAATTAAGTGTTATAAAAGTTAAGTAAAAATGTATAGTGATCAATTTGATATTGATACCTTAAATAGAAGAAGAATAACTGAGTCTATGGTATGTAGAAATAATATTTTTTATTCTTAATTTAAAATAAGACCAACCGCCCAACCATAATGACTATAAGTTCATTGTTTTATGCTTTAAGAATAGTGTTTTTTTTATATTTTATGGTGGCAAATAAATAAATGGCCATCTTCCACACATATTTGAAACCAAAATGCATCTTGTGATACACATATAAATGTGGAAGAGTCAATATAAGTCTATAATCTCTGCCTACCTCAGAGTTACGTTTGTGAGTAATATTAACAAAGCTTTTTACTCTTGATGAACTGAAATAAGGTATATATTATTTCCCAGACTCATAGAGATCTTCCCGAGTTGTCGCCTTTAGACATTGATGAAGAGAGGAATGAGAAGCCATGGCAAAAGGTAATACAAAAGTTGTATTATTATTTAAACTTCATCATCAGCTCACTATACTTCCCCACCGAGGGGCTCGGAGCCAACCCTAATTTGAACTTACTATGTTATTAATATTATATATGAGAATATATGGATGGATGTTAGTTGGTATCTCTGAAATGGCTGCATGGATCTCGCTGCAATTTGTCTTAAATGTAAGACATAGTCTAGAACAGATAGGCTACTGAATATTTTTATTAATTGTGCAGACAGTTGTGGGCGAAAGCTAAATTTTTACATATGTTTGTATATTTCTAGATATTAAATCAAATCATCAAGAACAGATCACAATCAATGAAATCTGTGAGTTTATATAATAATGGGGTTAACAATTTATTAATTTTTAACTAACTAGAGAAAAAACTATGTAGTCTTAAATAATATATGGGGTTTAACTATTATCTTAGTTCTTACTAATATTATAAATGCTAAAGATTAGATGGATGGATGTTTGATGGTAACTCCGGAATGGCTTAATGGATCTTGATAAAATTTGGTACAGATGCAGAACAGTCTGGAAAAACACATAGGCTACTTATTATGTTTTTTTTATTATTTCTATTTTAATATTGTTAGAATTAGTTTTAATAAACATTGAAAACTTTTGTATATATGTATCTGTTTTTACCCATTTACCGTGGGTTTCTGACATCAAAATCTCTGTATAAAACATATTGTCATCCCTTTCTTTCATGTTCAACAAAACAAAGATAACAATATGTTTCAAACGGATATTTTGATCTCGGAAAACCACAATTAGCAAAACAAATGAAATTACTAATTTTGTGTTTCAATTATTTTGAAAAGTAGACAGTAATTAACAAAGGGAAATAATAAACAAGTTTAAAATATATATTATTTATGTACAATTCATTTAAAAAAAAAACTTGAATTGATTCAAAACGTAAATTAAAAAATCTAACCTAACATCATAAAGGCCATTACACATTGCTGCTTTTCATTCACTCACCTAGACGATCGTGAGAAGCAGTGCCACGAGTGTAATGCGCGTTAACGTTTAGTTTTTTTTAAAGCTAGTCGAAGTTTGTTGATACTTAAATATAGTAAATGTTACATCCAGGTGCCCAGTGTTGCAATACTTCTAGTTGTAGGCTTCTATTTGATCTTGGGTTACTTGACACAGCTTATAGAAGATGATATGCCCAGGGTCATCACTAAAAAGGATGTACAGGATAATGTAAGTATATTTTTTTTTATCTTGAACCTATCATAGTTTTAAATACGTTATTTTAGACATTATTAGTTGGAATCCTTTTGCGCGAATGGCGCGCTTTCGTTACCAAGTCAAATGTCAGATTGATTAGTGAGGGGACATAAACGTTAATATTTTAGTAAAGCTAGTGTTGCGCCAGTACACCGGCATAGTGTCAGATTTTCTTCCTAAGTATTCCTTCTTCTTCCTTATTAAGGTTATTATAGATCTAAAGGACTTCTACAGCCACATAGTTATTTAAAAGTTTGCTAAATTATTCGAGTTAACTTTATCAAATCTATACTAATATTATAAAGATAAGATTTGTATTTTTGTATATAACGAATTAACTCATAAAGTACTAGACCGATTACAATTATTTTTTTCAAAAGAACGGACCTTTAGTACATCTTGGCGGACATTTTTTTTACAGAACTAATCAAATTTTATTTGTTATTTAAGTAAATCGTGTAATAATATATTTCCAGGATATTATATTCAGTGAGGAATCAGCTAAGGTCTACCTTGACCAGGTCTTAGGTGACCAACCCAGAGTGGCAGGCATGGAATATCATTACGAAAAGACCAAAGACCTTAAGTTGTTGCTCGACACCATAGTTCAACAGGCTACTATACCAATAAAAACGGATTGGCAATTTGTATCGGGTTAGTAAATTTAGTGTCTATTTGTCGCAGTGTCTGTGGGTTTGTGTGCGCTAATCTTATAAACGGCTTAACTAATTTTGCTACGGTTTTCACTAATCTGTTCTGATAAGTTTTAGTTAACACTTAGTGTTTATAACATCAAAATCGGTGTATGAATAAAAAAGTTATGGAAGTTTAAATAGTCAAATATGGAGATTTTAAATTCCGGGGTTTCATTTAAGTTTTTTACCTAAGCCAATATAATTTTTAATACGATTAAGGCAACGAATCCGTAGCCTATGTATTCTTTCAGACTGTGTTCTACATTTATACCAAAATCCATCGAGACCCATTCAAAACATCCAAACATTTATATATTTATATTTCTTTCTGGGTCTCTTACCGCCCCCCTTGAGACCTGCAGCGCCCACAAGGGGGCATTATCGCTCACTTTGGGAAAGACTGGTCTAGAAGAACACATAGGCTACTAATTAAGTTTTCTTTTTCGGGCGACAGCTAGTTTATAATATTAGTAAGATTGTCTTTAGTAGGTTATGTTTTTTTCAGGTGATTACTTTTTAGAATTTAAGATTCCTCATGTGAACCTTTATCGCAATTTGTCAAATATAATAGCCGTGTTGGAGGGAGAGAGTGGATTCTATAAGAATGGAACTATTGGTACTTCGCTATTGGTAAATTGCCACTATGACTCTGTGCCATTTGCTATTGGTAAGTTGTCAAAAAAACGATATTAATAGTTTTAATGGCATAAATACGTTAAAATAGCGAAGCCATAGCTGCTCAAGCATCTACAATTGCAGATGCGTTGTCTCCCTTTAATCGAAGGAGAAGGACAGAAAGCGAATATTTCCACTTCCTCTTCCCATCCTTAAGAAAAGGATGGGAAGGAAAAGAGGACTAAAAATATCTCCGGAACACACATACAAAAATTTGACTGATTTGACTTTATTTAAATGCATTTGAAAATGGAATGAACATTTTATGAAGAAAAAAGAATGTCTACTAATTTCGTTACATGAAAGAGATGGTAGATACAAAGTTTAGGTGGAGCGAAAGAGAAAGATATAGTGCCAACGTTATTAAAGTGGTATTTATATTTTTTTTTTCGGACTTATATTTTTTTTAAATTTCTGAGCAGTTTTTTTTTAATTTCAAGGTGCTTCGGACAATGGTGTGTTCTGTGCTGTAATGTTAGAAAGTCTTAGTAAATTATCCAAAAGGAAACATAAATTGAAACATAATATTATATTTCTTTTTAATGGCGCTGAAGAAAATCCTTTACAGGTATAGATACCTTAGTAACTTAAAAAATATTTAAAAAAAAAATACAAACTCAAGTGAACTGTTTGAATCGTTATAACGTAATTTTGATTTGCATTTTTTTTTAATTTACACTAAACTATAAGTTTTTTTTTCTAATTGTGTTCTTTTTTTCTTTAAAACTTTTGCTTATATGTAACTAAATTTACGTTTTTTTGTATTGTAGGGTAGTCACGGGTTTCTGAAGCACCCGTGGGTACAGGGTGTCACAAATGTAGTCAATTTAGACGCAGCTGGAATGAATGGCAAACCTGCTGTCTTTCAAGTGAGTTGTTTAGTACTATGTGTGACAGGGACAACGATATACGATGCTATAACTGTCTCTTTCTTAATGTAAAGACGAAAAATGGGTTCTGACTACTAGTATTTTGCACAATTTTTTTTTTAATTTTTTTTTGCCTTTTCGATTTGTGCTTAAAAGTTTTTATATGTACCTACGCTTTAAGTTATAAGTATCTCCGGAACAGCTTAACGGATTTTGATAAAATTTGGCATAGATTTAGAGCATAGTCTGGAAGAACACATAGGCTACTCATTAACTTATTTTTTAGCGGACGGAATCGCGGGCGACAGCTAATAATATTTTTTTTAATTAAAGGTGTCAGATCCGAGATTAATTTCGGTATATCAAAGTGTAGTACCAAAACCGAACGCGCAATGTTTCGGAGAGTTTCTGTTCAAAACCGGTCTCATACCATCTGACACGGATTTCAGGATTTGGAGGGATTTTGGTGACATACATGGTGAGAATTAGATTTGTAATCGTGAACACCCGTTTGTAATTTGCCTAGGTACATTGTGAATTTGTATATTGAACCAAATGACAATATTTTGTCAATTTGCAAAGTTCGATTTTCGATTTACATAAGTACATTTATCCTATGTTCTTACGGTGAAGGAAAACATCGTGATGCAACCTGCACATATCTGAGAAGTAACTCAATGATATGTGTGAAGTCAACCAACCCGCACTTGGCCAGCGTGGTTGACTATGACCTAATCACCCTTAACTTAGGGTAGGCTCCGAGCCCCTCAGTGGGGACGTATAGTGAGATGATAATGATGATGATGAAAAAGGCTGAACATATCTCGATGAATTTTAGTATAGATGTAGAATATAGTCTAGAAAAATACGTAGGCTACTAATTGTCTATTCAGTTATTGTATTATTCGTTTTTTTTTGTTATCTATTTAAAAAATTCCTATATATTTTAGGTTTAGATATAGCGTTTGTAAAATGGGGCAATGTATATCACACGAGAAATGACAGACCTGAACTAATATTGGATGGTGTCATACAAAACTCAGGCAATATGTTATTGAATTTAGTCAAAGAATTAGCTGACATTGAAGACTTGGAAAACAAGGTAAATATTCAAGCATTCTGTATTTATACGATTTTTTAAATAAAAAAAAATATCCGACTTGAAGGACCAATGTCGAAAAAAATTTTTTTTTAATGAATTTTATTTTTTATAATCAAAGCTAATAATTTATAATAAAACAGTTTAACTATTTTATGTAAATTTAAGTGTTTTTTTTTAATATTCAATACGTTTTTTTCTAGATATCACCAACACAAGTGGTATATTTCGACTACTTGAATCTCTTTCTGCTGACGTACTCGATTTCTGTCGCACAAATAGTGGATATTTTAATTGGATTATGTGCAATAATTACTGTACTTTATTATTTATGGATTGTTGGATACAGTAAGTTTATATTATATTAAAAAATAGTCAAGTGCGAGTCGGACTTGTGTCCCGAGGGTTCCGGACAAACCTGTAGATGTAAGTAAAGTAGTCTGGTCGACTAGAATGCCTTTTAGGTTATTCCGTTGCGAATGTTGAAAATTTGCGTAAATTTGCGACATAAACGGTTGTATTGCTTTGGCTTAGAAGTTTTATTTTTACACAGCACCTAGCGACCGCAGACCTGAACATTTGATGTAAATTCCAGCTCGATACTTTCACGCGTTTTTGAGAAAAAGTGTCAGACGGACGGACAACAAAGTGATCCTACAAGGGTACCGTTTTTTCCCTTTCGAGGTACGGAACCCTAAAAATGCTCATGTGATTGTACTGACGACGAACTGAATCGAAATGGCTCTAAATTGTCTCCTTTAGGCTCTAGATTCAAAATTTACTTCCTTTGTAAGTTGGGTAAGAACATTATCAACTCCTCCTAGAATTCTCATATAAAACTTATGTTTCACTGTTTTATTATATTAGCTGTCGCTTTAAATAAAAAAAAAATATAGTTTCCGGCAATTATTCGAAATTTTTCTCACCTTTTAAACCTTCCCTAAAGCACCACGAATATTTCAAGACCAAGTTAAGATAAATCCGTTAAGTTTTCGAGTTTTAGCGAGACTTTTATGAAATTTTGAAGTCAGAAACCCACGGTTTGTCGAATAACAATAAGTTAACTCTTAAGGACATAAAAAAATCTGTTTTTGATGTTAGAAAGTTGAAATTGAATTATAGAATTTCTATAACCAGGGCTTAGTTCAGTATTGGACCTACTATCAAGCTTGTTGGGCAGAGTGGTGTCGGCAGCGAGCGGGCTGCTGGCCACTGTTCTCTTAGTACTTATTATGGCCATCACTACGAAACAACTCAGGTGAGTTAGACAGAGAAAGAGATATTTGATTGTATAGAGTGAGAGAGATAGATATATTTGCTTCTAAAGAGAACGGCATACTTACGCGAGAGAGAGAGAGGCTTATTAGATTTTATCAAGAGCGAAAGAGATAGGCTTATCTAACTTTGCCAAAAAAAATTAAGCATTTTTTTTTATTATTTTGTCAAATTTATAATTTCGTTTGTTTGCCTTTGAAAGGTTACATGTGTTTGTTTTTAATTTAGATTTTTTTTCTAGGTACCTCTCAAAACCTTGGTTAGTCGTTCCTTTGTATTGGATGCCATTTTTTATAGTTTCTTTCTTGGCTTCGATTAATTATGAAGCGACGAGTCGAAAGGTAAGATTTAATTTGTTCAAAGCTTTATAAACAAACTAGCGGTCGCCCGCGACTCCGTCCGCGCGGGATTAAAAGTAGATGTTGTCGGATTGTCAGAGCTACTCAATATGTTCACAACATTTCATGAGAATCGATCAAACCGTTTCCGAGGAGTATGGGAACGAAAATTGTGACACGAGAATTTTATATATAAGACAATTCATTACATATTTTACGTTAAAATCATTAAATTTTAAAAAAAATCGGATTTTTACAACAATTTACATTTTTCATAAAAATACGATTTAAATTTTTTGTTTTAAAAAAATATGTATTCTTTTGAGAAGAAATACTTAATGTTTCATTTGACAAACTTTTTTATTATAATACGTGACTCGTGACTCTGTCCGCGTAGAAAAAAAAACTTAGTAGTGTGTTCTTCCAGACTATGTTCTATATGTATGACAAATTTCATCAAGATCCGGTCATAAATTCTGAAGATACCTTCAAACAAACATCCATCCATCTAGAAATTCGCATTTATAATATTAGTAAGATTTGATATCATATTTCAGTGCGCACTGAACAGATCTCTCCATACATTACAAGCTATGGCTTCAACGAGACTATTATTAGGAGTTTTACTAATAATATTGTCAATATTTCCATCACTGACAAGTCTACGGTATGTCATAAGTGTGCCATTGTTTGTGATGTCAGTTGGTGCCATGGTGTCAATGACTGTTGTCAAATATTGCAGGTTAAAAGGTAAGGATTTATTTTATTAAATCTGAAAATCTAGGTCATTTTTGTGTTATTCTAATACTAGCTTTTAACCGCGAATTCTTCTACACAAAATAAAAATAGTAGTCTATGTTTTCTTCCAGATTATGTTCTATATGTATGCCAAATTTCATCATAGATCCGTTCAGCCGTTCTAGAGATCATCATCAGCTCACTATAAGTCCCCAGTAAGGGGCTCGCAGTCTAACTTAAGTTAGTAAATAGGTCATAGTCAACACTGGCTAAGTGCGGGTTGACTTCACACATATCTTTGACTTTCTCAGATATGTGCAGCATCATAATGTTTTCCTTCACCGTAAGAAGTTCTGGAGATACTTCTAACAAACATCCATCTGTACATTCGTATTTATAATATTAGTAAGATATCATTGCTAATATAAAGATAAAATATTTGCTTTGTATGTTTGTAACACATAAACTCAAAAACTACTGAACCGATTTATAAAATTCACTGTTAGGAAGCTACACTATTCTAGGATGATATAATTATATTTATTTATATATTTTTTGCAAAAAAAATCGACAACTTTACTAATATGTATCTTTAGGAAGAAAAACCGAAACAGTATCGGTGTATTGACTCAACACTAGCCTTACTAAAATGTCAACGTTTATGTCCCCTCACTAATCAATCTGACATTTGACTTGGTAATGACAGCACGTCATTCGCGCCAAAGGATTTTAACTAACAATGTCTAAAAATGTATCATAATAATAGTTATTGATTATAAAATGAATTTATACTTTTTAGTTTAAAAAAAAGTACCTGGATGATCGAGCTTTGCTCGGTATTTTTTAAATTGTGTTTTTTGGAATTTACATTTAAGTACGAATTACTAATAAAATGATGAAATATGAATAATATTTTTCGATCTTACCGATAGAAAAAGTTAAGTTTATGTTTAAGTTGATTATCGATAAAACACGAATAAAATGACATTTTCTAAAAATGATTCCTAGCTAGATCGATTTATCGCCCCCGAAACCCCCTATATACTAAATTTTATGATACTCATTTAAAGATATAAGATAATACACACAAGTGGATGTGCGTGTGTTTGTGAATAAGTGTAAGTGTGTGTGTGCTTAGTTTTTTTTTATTTCCGAGACAATCACTGGCATGTATTACTTTGGTGATATCTTTATTTCAGCATGGCAACATTTAATAATGGAAATAATATTATCAGTACCGTGTACTATGTTCATAATATCATTAAGTTTGCGTCTGGACGCTATCATGTTACCCACTGCTGGCCGTTTGCCCACTAAGTACCCAGACTACATCGTGGGGGGACTTAATTTGATATTAGCCGTCTTATTCTCCACTGCTGTGGTCAGTTTCTTATACTTTTTTTAATTTATTTTAAATTATTATGTGAACTTTACTTAAACGATGGAAGAGAAGATAATTTCCAGAAGAAGATATCTCCCTTTCCTATGTATTCCCTCCTCTGTTAAATAGACTATCCCTTTCCATCGTTTCCTAAGACGGGATCCGTAAATTACGTCACACGAAATTCTTGTTTTTTTTTTGTTTTTTGTTTCCTCCCTCGTCTTGTAGAAGACGTTGAAACTTTTTAAAATATAGAATAAAAAAAAACGTTTTTTTACAAAAACTTGAATTAAAGAAAATGGAGATAATTTTAAATGCAGCCGATAGATGGCGCTATTTAAACTTAGAGATTTAGTCGTGTTATTGCTTTTAATATTATTTCTAAGTTATATTTCTGTTATTTCAGTCTGGTATTGAGTTATTATTATCTCGCAGAAGATTGTGGCTGCCGATAGTGTTACTGTCCAGTGTATGTGTGGTCTTCATGTTCACACCCACGTCTGTATACGACGACCTCGCCACACAGAGACATTATTGGTTTGTAAGTATATTAATTTACCATTTTTTCCTATAATAATATAGCAAAACAAGCGACTACTTAAATTTTATTAATCTAACTTTAACCGACAGATGGACACATAAATAACTAACTGTTGCACGCGACTATTTCCGCGCGGAATTAAAAAAACAATAAGTAGCCTATATGTTCTACATGAATGCCAAATTAAATTAAAATCCGTTCTGCCGTTATGGAGATATCTAACTAAACATTCGTATTTATAAGTAAGATTCCTATGCGTCAAATACTCTTCCCCTTCCTATCCTGTCCTTCTAACAAAAGTGTGGGAAAGGAAAATTAGAGCGTCGTAGGTCATCCGTCGTTATAAAGAGTGGACGTTATATAGAGTGAGGTTATTTTTTTTAATTCAATCAACATAATAAGTAGCTTATGTGTTATTCCAGACTATGCTCTACATCTATGCCAAATTAAATTAAAATCCGTTCAGCCGTTCAGGAGTTACCTTCAAACCATCTAAATATATTTAAAATATTAGTAAGATTTTTTTTCCTCGCTTATTCAATTTCGATACAATTGTAAAAATGTTGCTACATAAGATTTTTCACAATGGAAACTTAAATAAAACATGTTTAATTCCAGCATACAGAAACAATAACATATGATAAAAATGGATCAGCAATTAATTATAAATCAGGAATATTAATAACTAAACAAGACGCGTACACATTAACAACAGTACTGCCAGCGTTACAACACGCCGGTATATCAGTTCACAATGTGACAGACATCGCGTCAGATTGTGAGAGATATGTATACTGCAATATGCCGCTGTATAGACCAAGGTTCGCACAACATCTGTAAGTAATCTAGTTTTATATATATTCAGATAAATACATAATTTCACTGAAGGAAAATTAATTCAAATACATAACGAGGTAAGAACAAAGAAGAAAATAACTTTATTACGTAGAATTTAAATAATTACTGTTTTTTTTATTAAAAACATGACAGTATAGGTAAGTAAAGTTTTAAAAATTTTCAACTAGATGGCGTCGTTCTTAAAGTTGAAATTGACAAATATTTTGAAGCTAGATGGCGCTGTTATTAAAAATTAAATTGTAATGAAAATTCAATTATCAATAGGAAATTAGTTAAAAATAAATTAAAATGAGACCCTAAATCAGCTTATTTTACAATAGTTATTATAAACATAATTATTTTATGTATTATATGTTTTCCAAATCGATTAAAAATCTTTTTCTTTCCTTGTAAGTTACCTAACAAATATTTTTTTTCTACAGACGCGACGTTTTGTTTCTATACACGGATCCACCGGCGACATTTGAACCTGAACCCTCTCTTACAGCAACCAGATCCTGTAGCGATAATACTTGTACTCTTAGCTGTGTTATGACTGGTGAGACATTAATCATGTACTAGCTAAAGCCCGCGACTCCGTGCCTATGTAATCTTCCAGACTATGTTCTACATGTATGTCAAATTTCAGGGAGACCCATGTAGCTGTTCTAGACATACTTTGTAACAAACATACATCTAAACATTTGCATTTATAATATTAGTATGATTGTTCTATTATCATCCTGCTCTTTTGCTCTATAAGTTATCATATATGAATTCAAATTCTTACGGATACGACAAATAAAGAATAGGAAGGGGAGTAGAATTTATTGGAAAAGGGTGTAGCAATTGCGTTATATTTGGCACGTTCACGTACCGACACGTGCTACCGGTCCAAAGGTCTAACATCGACTGACGTCCCCTCTCCCCGCCATGTACTTATGGCGTGTACGCTCGAGACAAACAACACTACGTTTATGCATACACTACAGAGGAGACGCACAAAAAGGGGAAATATCCTCTTTCTTTATCTAAATTACATTATTTTTGCGACTGTTCTTTGTATGACATTTTTCCAGGTCCACAACACAATACGTTAACATTTTTCCCACTTTACGGCGTTAATCTGACGAGATGGTCCTTCTCATCACCTTTGGAAGTAACTGATCAGTTCCAGAATAGAAATATCTACGTTATTACAGAAGCCACTTGTACTTATTCAAAGATATTAGCTCCGATGGAATTTACTTTGACATTTAATGTAAGTAAAGTATTTGATTTAAAAGTAGCTGTCGCCCGCGACTTCGTCTGCGCGGTATTGAAAAAATTGATTATTAGCTTATATGTGCTCCCTGATATGTTCGATATGTTCTACATATGTGATAAATTTCATCAAGATCCGTTGAGCCGTTCTGGAGATACCTTCAAACAAACATCCATACATCTAAACTTGCGCATTTATAATATTATTGAGGTTAGTAAGGTTTTTAGTTATGTACTTTTGGTGATTGCTTTAAAGGAATTTTGTTAATCATTCTCATGAAGTACAGCGCCATCTCTTAGAAATAAAATGAACTAATTTCCAAAAATAAATATAAGTACCAAAAACTGATACCAGATGGTGCTGTAAGATAATTTCATTAAAACCTAAAATTTGTTTTCATAAAAATTGCTGTTTTTCTTAAAAAGCAATATACTAAACATAAATTAATATTTATTTTTCAGGTCACAAAACAACAACAAACCGAACCTTTAGTAGAAATCTCTCATCACGCACACAAAATCCATCATCCGGAAGAATTTACTGAGGAATACAAAAAATTTATAAATGCTATGCCTAAATATTTTAATATTGCTTCCACATTGAGTGTTAGATCTAATTATATGTTCTGAACATTATTATACAAAATAACCATAAAATATATTAATTTATAAAAAGGACTTTAGTAAATAAGAAGACGAACAAATAAAAGTTAACTAAAGTAATAAAGTTTTAGACTAAGGAATTAGATATTTAGTAGGATAAAAAC